ATAGGTGATAGGTATATCTATTAACTCGCCTTTGGCTCGCTGGGGGCTCCGCCCCCAATTTAATATTTTGGGGGTTGGGGTGTTGTATTTGTAAAATTTAACTTTTCGTAATGGGCGCAATACCTAATATCGTGTCAAATTTCAGATTTCCACCTAATCTGGAAAAAACATTTTTTTTCATTGTCTTATTGTGTCCACTTGCCCAGTGCGTACACGTACCCCACTTCACCCTAATTTAACCTAACTTAACCAAACCTAACCTTACCTAATCCAACCCATGCTCAGGTTTGTTATTTAAAACTACTTCTGTGAAGCTGCCAATTACTTCACCAATAATGCATGTGTGTGTGTGTAGCCTACTGTGGAGCGCGCACCCGTGTTTGGGGGGGGGAGGAGAGGGGCATTGAACTGTAACTGTTGAGCACGCGGGTGGGGGCAGGGAGCGAGAGAGATGCAATTAATGTTTAGTTGCATTTTGCAAGGTTATTTTAAATTGCATATAAACGGTTAAAAACGATCGCTAATTTACATAAATTGTATAGCCTACCAATCGAAAGATGAGGCTCTAAACTTTCATTTTATTACATAAATAACCTTTATAACACTGATGGATCAATATAACTTAGCGATACAGTGGAAGAAAAATTTGCGCGAAGTCAGTTATGTAGGCCTAAGCATCACAAAACTACCAAAAATGGACATTTTCAATAAATAATAGCAAGGGGTATTTTTAGCCTATGGAACAGCGGGTGGTACCACTGCATCCGGCAGTTTATTTTCTATATTGAGATATATAAATTATATCGATATCTTTATAAATAACTCAAATAGAAAAAAAATACCTCAGCCACCTTTTTACGTGTATCTGAACTGGCAGCGCGACTATTATAGTCGTGGTAGTAATTCACATATGTTTCAATAAAATTTATAACATGCCGTTATAATTTAAAAAATTAAAAGGTTGCCGTATGTTGCACAACCTGCGCCAACGTCATCACTTGTTGTTTACGTGCAATTTATCTTCTTCACCTGTTCACAAGCTTATGGGAATTTTACCGTTTTTTAGTTTTTTGGCCATAACTAAGCCAAAAAAAATAATAAATTGAATGTTTTTACTTTTATACTAGGAGAAACCCGTCGAAATCGACGGTTAGGGGCCTCTTCGTTTATATGGGCGTGCGGCTTCATTGGCAACAATAATGCAAATAAATGACATAGCAAAGTGGCATTTCCAAAAAGAAAGAATACTGTAAATTGGCTGTTACGTAAATATTAATGTTAAAATGCATTGTTAATCAACGTATCGTATAAAGGATTAAATGTGGTCTAGTTTAAAAGGAATATGACCTTTCTGTCATAACAGTAGCTGATCAAATAGTATTTACTCATTGGGCCATTTTTTACAGCCAAAATGTCGTGTTATTTTCAAAAATGCTACCAACCCAGTGGGTCACGGTCCGTAATATAGGCCACTGCAAATAATTTGTCAAAGATAGGTACCGGTACGATTCTAGGCAAGGTTTCTGTGTTCGGATGTTATTAGACACGATAAGAGCTCAATGAACTTCTTCTACAGATAATTAATCTGTTGGGGAAATATATAAGCCGAATTATAAATGCGAGTTTGGGCATTTTGTAACTTTATAAGTAAGTTACATAGTATTTTTAGGCTGCTGCTCAGTCCACTTAAGACTATATTTTTTAGAGATAAATTAAATGGTGTTTGATGCTGAGTAGCGATATTTAACATGCAGAACCCTCTTCGTTAGTCTAATAACATTCAAAGGCTCTCTAAAAGTTGAAGTTCTTATTTGTACACATACCTTTATTATGTTTTCACTAAGCTGAATAAATACATCGAAGTAACCACTCTGAAATGTTTGCAGTATATTGCAGTTTTCCAGCTTAATGACTTTTTAAATCATGCACATATGTCTACATAAATATTGTAAAATGTTGCTGTACACTAATATTAATTTAACAAAATATGGACACGGCTAATATGGACAACGTGCCCTTCGGCATTTTTTGTATTATTTTGTATTGTATTACACAATCAAAGACTTTTCCAATGATTGAAAATATCTATGACAATAATCTCATGAACCTATGATGATCTGTCTAGAATAATATGATAAAATATACGGTAGGCAAAAGTGGTAATAAAGGCAGACACCAACCCGTACAATAGATATAAGAGATAGTTCGATACGAAATAATTGTAAAAGTTACTATAAAATGATTGTCAACTGATTTTGTAATGGAACGTTATATTGCAAAACATGGCATGATACAGAAGAAAATCAATTTTTAAACCAGTAAATAACATTACAAATACTTCTTTTTAGACAATTCAATAGCTCCCAATAAACGTGTGTTGTTTAAAATACAATTTAAGAATTAACAGCTGTTTAATTCAAAAGTATTATCCACATGATGAAAATGTAAACAAATCTGTGGAGGGATCTTTAAAGGCTTCTGGGGCAGAGCCCTAACGGGATTCACCTCGTGTTTCTTTTGGTAACTTATCTAGAGACCAAGACCTTTCTTTGGACACCTCTACCAAGTTTCTACGCCCAGTCGTTCTCTCAAATTAGTGGAGACAAAGTTTCCAATTAAATGTTTAGATTCCCCCATGTTAATCTTATGGGAGAAAATCCAACTTTGATGGAAGATCCTGCCCAAACTAATAACAATTTCAAAAAATTAAAAAGACTTTGCAAACTACAGATCAGGGCCATTCTTTTGACACTTTAATGATCAAAATCGGTCCAAAAATGAGGGAGGAGTTCTGTTTACAAAAATCGGCTTAGCGTATTATATATATAGATGTACAGAAATAACATTTTATGATACCTTGGATTTCATATAAAAAATTTTCTGCATTTGCAGCGCAGTTTAGCTTTCAAATTGGGAAAAAAAAAATTTTGTTTTTTTCTTTGTTTCAAAAATTATTTTTTCAACTAAACTTAGGCCTACTTGAAATTTTACCATTTTCAGATTCTTCATTATATTTTACGAACAATTCAAGTAGGCCTAAGTAAATGGTTCATATGGTTTACTTTATTAGTTCAATTTATATGAATTTTCAAAAATATGTCAGCAAGAGCAAAATCACTAAATTAATGTTTAGGAAATTTGTAAAAAAATTATGTATTACTTATGTTGTCAAACTCAAATTAACACTTGCGAGTAATAGGCCTACTGGCAATAATATTATTTTACAGATACAAAATAGGTACTGAGGCTAATGACGTATTAAGCTGTAAACAAGAATATTGAACACGCAATGTTGCAGTAAGTAAGTTAATTACATCGCCTCAACTCCAGTAGCTCAACTCAGTCAAACATTGAAATAACTTATAAAGAAAACATAGTGACGCGAAATTAGTAGAATAGATTTCAGGTGGTGCACGCTCTACTGGTGGCCTTGACTGGTGAGTACACTCGGCCGCTCGCACGCACAATTTATTGGTGAGTTATTGGCTGATTCACACGAATTAAAACTTAACTTATAGGCTATCGTGTTTGTAGTAGCCTACTTTTTACAAAGTGCAAAAACAATTATCAATTATCAATTATCAATTATTTAAGATGGGGACGCCACTATGTGCGTATTTTAACCCAAATATGAGTGAAGGATGAGTGTAGGATGAGTGGCGCGATCTTGTAGTCTTGTTAGTGACTAAGGCCGACATGTTCCTTAGACACAGCTGTTAATTAATAGCCCATACAGCTAATGGCAACTAAGGGACCTACAGTTTATAGTGGAATCCGAACCACATTTTTCCTTGTAATTTACGAATTGGTCTAATTATCAGGATAGTACTGCGGATAGTCGTAGTACTCACTAGTGCGGACGTTAATCCACACCATTGAGCATCGCATCCACAGTGCATCCCTATAAATATCCACAATTCGTGACCTCCTAGTAGCTGGATTACAGGACGACGCCACCCGTCCCAGTCTTAACAGTAACTTAACAGTAGCTGGAGATAAGTTAAGTGTTTTGAGAGAGCTTTGCCTGTCAATCCGTAGGCAGCGCCACCAGCATTGCCATGCACTCAGCATAGCAACGCTAGTTGCGCTGCCTACGGATTGACAGGCAAAGCTCTCTCAAAACACTTAATGGTTTTTATCATGCGGTTGGCGTTCTGGGTTATAGTAGTAACTTTTAAGTATGTTTTCTGTGGTAGGCTACGCTTATAGATCAACAACTCGATTTGAATCGAGTTAAAATTTTACTTATTTTAAGTTACTTACTTATTTTAAAAAATTTTTTTTTTTTAATTTTTAAAATTCGAGTTAAGTTAATGAACATTAACTTATAACCTAAACATTACCTTCCTTATCTAACCTAACTTCAAACACTTAATACAGTCACAAATCCACATAACACCCAACCTAACTACCTCACATGTCTAAATAAGAACTGAAGTAATAAAATTCAAAAAATCGTAGTTAACTTAGGCCTAATTCAGTTTTTGTGACAGCTGAAACATTTTTGCACCGTTGTTTTCGGGTAAAAATCTAACTTAGTTTTTAATGATAGGTAGCCTAGGCTATATAGATTAGGCCTACCTATTATATAGGCTAGATTAGGCTTATAGACCTAGTACCTACTCTTGGTCACCCTCATCACAATAATTTCCAAAATATTGATTATTTAACGATATTTTCAATTTAATAATTTCAATCGATATTAAGTTGTTTAGCATAACTTAAGTTAACTTAGCCCAGTTAAGAAACTGTAGGCTACCCAAGAAGTTTTTCGTGCGCATTAAAATCACTGATTTCTAGTATTTGTCCTGATTTTCAAGGTGAAATCTAGGCGTTTCCTCCAAAAAGTGTTGAAAATAGACTAACTAGGTCTAGTCTAATTTTGGTAGCCTAAGTTAGATAGGCTAAGGCAAAAAAATGCAATACCCAATATAAGTAGCCTATGCCTAGGCCTAGTATAAGTTCAGTATTATTTTAAGTTATACCGTAAAAAAACTTACCATGTGCCAAACAAATCCCAGCAAGACAAATTATATTGAGTACGTTTGTCATGTCGCCAAATTTAATACAGTGGGACGATTTCAAAAATGCATTTGTCCTGTCCTGACAATTATAAAATCACTGTCTTAATTAACTAAGTTAATCCTGAATTCAATAAAAGTTATGTTACTAAAAACACAGGATTAAGAACTTTATTAACTTGCCCACTTCTTAATGGCAGAATGTCAATAATATAATGCAATGGAGATTGGGAGATTAGCCAAGAAAGGCGCAAACAAACACACAAACACTGGTGAAGTTTAAGTTTTGAATTGAACTTCTTCTTAAACCAAACCAAACCGAACCGAAACCGAACTGAAACTGAAGACTATGGGTACGTCCACAATGCACGCTGGTTTTCTGAGTCAGACTCGGCGCGCTTATCATCATCCCATGCTAGTAAACGTAAGCGGCCATAGTGCACCTGCGTGCCGATTTTCTGCGCGCAGGCAGTCTGACTCAGATTTTTACCGGAATGAATTGTTCATTGGCAGGTTTCAGACAACCTGCTTATATCGGACTGTTGATTTTTGTTTTTGTATTGAGTGTATAGGTTTTTCATTACATTAACCATGGATATCGACAAATTGCTATCAAAACGTTCAACACGTTCCAGCAAATTGCAATAAGCGCATCAAAGTGCATAATTTTTAACAAATATAGTAACATTGTACCTTAAATTTATCTGCTGATTTAATTAAATTGTTTGTAATATTGAATTTTTACAAAATAAGCAGTTTAACTTACGGAAATAAAATTAGTTACTTCAACGGGACATGCTATTTCAAGGTTTTTTTTATATTTTCCCCAGTTTTTGGCAAGCTTGTGCTCATTTTTAAGAAGGTGTTCAAGCTCATTCTTAAATATAAAAAACCCTGTTGTCGTCTGCAAGAACCCAGACAGCACACTTTATCCCAGGGACATCCCATAGTAGTCCCATATGTCCTGAGAATGTCTCGGGATATGTACGCTATCCTCAGGATATCAGGTATCCCGCAAAATCCCGGGACGAGTACGAAATCCACAGGATATCCTACAATATACCGTAATGTCCCGGGATTTGTAAGTTAACCTCAGGATATCCTGTAAAGTCCCGGGATATGTACGAATGCCATAGGATATCCCAGAATGTCCCATGAAATCCCGGGACATGTACAAAATCCACTGGATATCCTGTAATGTCCCGGTAATAAACTGAAGAAAAAAAATACTACCACTGATGAAATGTATATCTAAATTTAAATGTTCAACAAGGCCAATATTTAATAATTTGTTTTTTTCACTAGCGCTTTCAGAAGCTTGGTTTCCATCTTCAGGCTGTGTACAAAAAGTAAATATTTACTTAATAAATTAATTTTAAACAAAGTTAAAACAGATGATTTAAAGGATATTGGAAAAATAAAAAATAATATTAGAAAAATTAATCTTTTGAATTTTGGATATATTACAGTGTTGTTCTTGATGTAATTATTTTCAGTAATTCCGAATTTATAATTGGGCCGTCTTCATTATTTAACAAATAATTTTGGTCTGTTTTTTTTTTCTAAAAATAAGATTCCCACGCATTAAGATGTTGAGGTTTTATAATTTGTTTTAAAAGTTTAAGGTTTCCCAGATTGAAAATATGTCTTGTTAATACTGTGGCTAGCAAGGGCTGACTTAACTTTACTGACATATTACTACCACTGAGTTCAAGAAAACTAGAGTTCTATCATAGTTGTGTGAAATGTGAATTTAATTCTAACTTTAAATTAATAAAACAACCAAAAACTAATTTTAATCATATAACAATCAACTATAACAGTGCTAATCTAATGGTAATTAAATAATCTATATTCAAATACCAGTATCCTCTCCAACTACCAGAAAAACAATTCAACTACTTGAGGCCTAAACAGATTAACAGAATCATATTATAGCCTATACTGGGGTAGTATCAAAAATATTTTAAGTATTGCGACCATTGCAACTGTCGGCTACTCTTTCACCACTTGAAAACACCCATAATCATCAAGCGCAGATAGCTCAGGAGGTAAGGTAAGAGGCTCATAAGGCGAAGGTACCAGGTTCGAGACCCGTCTGGGCCAAAAACTTTTTTCTCTTCTTCAAAATTTGTGTTTATTAACTATTTAATCAATTTACTAAACTTATAATTAAGCTTTTCATACTAAATCTATATTATTTTGTGTTTTTTATGTTCAGGCCCAGACCACACTTTATCCCAGGGACATCTCAGTAGTCCCATATGTCCTGAGAATGTCCTGAGGACTACCCTGGGATAACCTCGGATGTCCTACGGATATGCGTGTGAGCTTATCCGTAGGACATCCCCGGGCGGGGACATTACGCATTCCTGTGGATATCCTGGGATATCCCAGGTTGACCATAGGACCACTATGGGATATCTTGCATATCCTGTCGCAATATCCGTGGGATGTCCTGAGGAGAAAGTGTGCTGTCTGGGAAGGTATAATAATACCTATGTATAAAACCTGTATAAAATATGTATAAATATGTATAAAACATGTATGTATCAATGTACAGTATCCCTTAAATAGGTCTCAACGTGGTCTCAACACAGACAGGTCCGGCTGACAACCTGCTTGCATTATGGCCACCTCATCTGAGGCAGACACTCGGCACCGAAAATCTGAATCTGACTTCATGCTCATACCAGCGTGCATTGTGGACGTACCCTATGACTATGACCACAGCCACCTCTAATATGACTCGGCCTCAGTGTTTCACCATTGACTTTATATATCTACACGTAGAGATATAAAGTCAATGGTTTCACGTACTGTGCGACTGTGCGAGCGACGTCCACTAATTGGTTTCGGCAAGAGCAAGTAGACTGATCGACTGACTTGGCGAATTTCCCATATACTAGTGGCTTGTAGGGGCAATAGCCCCTATATATATGTATATATTATTTTCTTGCATTTTAGGGCTACACACTTATATAATAAAAATCAAAAACATATATAACAAAGTACCCTTTTAGTAATTATTTTATTTTTCATGACGACATGTTTCGGATCGAACTATGTCCATTATCAAGTCATTTTTACCATAACCTCTTTCTTTTTTTTATGTATATATATATGTATATGTTTTTTAATATGTATATATATATATATATTCTAGTTGAATGATAATTATTTTGTACAAATTATTAGTCTCATGGGTTACACTATCTTGAAAAATTGTTTAACATTTTTATATGTTATAATATGTATGATAGTTATTACATAGCTGTATAATACCACATGCATTAATGCACGTGTGTGTGTGTGTGTGTTTAATGCATGTAATGCATTTTGATGTCTGCTCTGTTTGAAATAAAAATTCCAAAGGACTGTTTATGCGGTGTGTTTATAATTTAAACTTTCTGATCATAATACAGCTAAACAACATTTTCAATAGTATTCTTCATGATTATTAATTAAATACATATAAAATTCGTTGAATATAGACAAATTCACTTTGAAAAAACACATAGAGATAATGGGTCATCCTCCAAATTGTAAAATGCAAAATCTCTCTGTTTTACAGTACCTATCCATATATTAGTAGATTCCATGGTCTTTATTTGGTAGTATTTTAACATAATCTGACCGCTTTACCGGCTAAAAGCAACATAAAGCTGGCCACTGGGTAAACACTGGGTTTTTTCAAATAAATGCCAACTTTTGTGAAGGTTTGGCCTTGCGCTTTATTTATAGTAATAGCGAAAGCTAATCGCAATGGGAATTGAATCCTTGTAAACTTAAACGGCATATTAGGATCCGTAGATATTAGTTTGGTTTTTGGCAGGGCCGGTTTAACCCATACGCGAACTACGCGGCCGCATATGGCGCCACGAAAAAGTGGCGCCGTGGCGCCAACGGAACATTTTTTTTACGTGAACAACGTAATTTTGTTTATTTTTGCTCAGAGTTCAAGTATTCAAAGCACCACAATAAAGGCATTTATTCTGTTTGTACCAACAGCTTTTGAAAATTTTGTATATTTGTACAGCACTACAACTCAAGGACTCAATGCCATTTTCAGTTTCGATTTGAACTGAGCTGACGCTTGGCAGTCGGCAGCGTCAGCGCCAGCGCGGCACCTTTGGGTTTCATTTCACGAATCACTCATGCTCGAGATAAGCAAGCGCGCAGCGCCACTTGTCACAATCAGAACACAGACAACTTCCCCTCACTCCTTTCTGCCTCTGATCCTAGAGCAGAGCACTACGTTGTATTGCACTCTTTTAGTTGTATACGTAGGTGCGTAGGCCTATACCGTATCGGTATCGTATTGGCATTGTTTTGATTCATGATTGTTGATAAGCGAATTATTACGAGTGTTTTAAGTTTAATTTATAATTAGCACATTAAATAAAAAGAAAGTATAAACTGAATGAGTGAGTAAAACATATTGCGAGCCGAAACTATGAAAACAATGGCAGAAAAAAAACCGTCTGGCACTTATCATAGAAAGCGTAAGGCGAATTTGGAAGAGGAAGAAAAAAAAGCCAAATCAATGAGTAGACTTTTGTAGAAAACATCTGGGGCACATTTCATAATAAAGTACAAACTAATATTATTAGTAAATCAGCGGATCGCCCAATGCAAATCTAATGGAAATTACAAGTTACAAGTTGTAACTTGTAGTTTATTATGAAATGGGCCCCTGGTGGCGAGTCCAGTCAGCCCAAAGAAGTCACGATAGAAGACGGCAATGACGTAGGTATTTATTTATTTATTTGCCAAGGAAAGATTAAAACAAGCAGCTGATCACAAACGGCAAACATTACGTCATTGCCGTCTTCTATCGTGACGTCATGCTTGACGAGCATTACATTACGGCCTGTTTTTTTTTAGTGTGTCCTTGGTTTTGCTATAGTTTATATGATGAGTAAAAGTGTATAAATGTCACATTTCTGCGAATAATAAACAGCCTTTTATTGCAAGTAAGTATTCTTCTACCTAAACTTTAGAAAAAATTCTTCCCAAAATTATTGGGAAAAATTCACAAATACGGTTAAGTTATGGGTTACGGTTCATGGGTTTGGGGGGGGGGGGATTCTCCCAGACAGCACACTTTCTCCTCAGGACATCCCACGGATATTGCGACAGGATATGCAAGATATCCCATAATGGTCCTACGGTCAACCCGGGATATCCCAGGATATCCACAGGAATGCGTAATGTCCCCGCCCGGGGATGTCCTACGGATAAGCTCACAGCATATCCGTGGGACATCCGAGGTCATCCCAGGGTAGTCCTCAGGACATTCTCAGGACATATGGGACTACCATGGGATGTCCCTGGGATAAAGTGTGGTCTGGGCCTGAACATAAAAAACACAAAATAATATAGATTTA